TAGATTTCAACCACAATCCATCTACTACTCAGCAGTTTACGTTCTCCTCTCCATCATAACCAGTCTTGGGAATTCTCTTATCTTTTTTGCCCTTCACAAACTCTTGTATCGTTGTCTGGCAACAACTGACCTGTTGGTTGGCATTTTTAGCCAGTCTATCATGGCTACTTACTATATGTCCTTGGTTCACGAACACTGGAGTCTCTGTCAATACGCAAGGGACGCAGCCTACATAATAGGCTATACATTATGTGGAGTGTCTTTGTCAACGATGACGGCCATAAGCGTGGACAGGCTTCTAGCCCTGATGTTGGGGCTGAGATACAGACATACTGTAACTTTGAAGCGCACATATCTAATTGTAGCCATCTTTTGGGTTTTCTCAAGTTTCGCCGGGTTGTTGTATTTTTTAAATTACCGCATAACCTTATGGCTTGGCCGTATAGGCATATCACTATATTTGCTAACCTGAATCATCTTGTACACAAAGATTTTTTGTACTCTCCGTCATCATCGGGCTGAAGGATGTGGATGCTTTGTTCTTACCTCGTTTTGAAGCAAATGACAAAACGAGGTAACGACACGCAAACGAAACTGAAAGTGTTGCGATCAAAAGAGCTTGCACTGAATCAAATCGATAATTTGGATATCCTTTGTAACTCTCCCGAATTACTTATTTTGTCCAAGGTAAATGCCAGGCATTGCTTGCGAATTTTTGTGAATTCGACAGCTGTAACTTGTTCAAACAAGCTCAGCTTAATAAGCTTGTAGCTAACACGAAGCGGCAATACAATTAATACACGCCAGAATAAAGTAAAAGTTGGCAATCGTCGTCACTTAACTGCAGGAACGTCTTTCATTGTCGGAAATCAGAGAAAGTTCGGAAAGATGAGGAACATTTGAAGGAGGAAATCTCAACTAAAAAAATTTAAAATAAAAGTATTTACCTTACACTCAAAAATCTGATACAACCATGCGTTCTTACCTCTGTCGCGGAAATGGAAGGCACGTTTGACTATTTTACGACCTTGCTTCCTCAGTCCGTCATGAAAATGTTTCAAAGTCACTAAGACAGAGAAAGTACTATGAAAGAATCGAAAGCTATGTCAGCTTGAAGCCGGAAATTCTCCAACTGAAATTGAAAGAAGAGCCCACATATGGGCGGCTGTCACCGCTAAAAATACAAAAATAGAATTTGTTTGTAATAACAGATAGAGTCTAATTGTCTTTTGGAGAACGATTTATCTTATGCTAAGAGATTTATTTAAAATACAAATGGACAAGTCGCATATGGTGAAATGAAATATTCAAACAAAAAATGGTTTATACAATTGAGGAGCTGTGTAGCCACCCTTGTTGAACTGATTCAATAAAAACATGAGTGGCCAAGTGTTAACTGAAATGGTTCAGTGTCGAAATGACAAACGGTTCAGCTAACTGTCCTTTGGTTCAGTAACTTGACAAAAACGGTTCAGAGTGGTGTGAAATGGCCTAGGTTATCGGCAAATGGTTAATCGTAGCCGCAATGGTTTAGTATCGCATCAATCTACTCACCGTAAAGTGAAATGGTTTAGCGTGACCCCAAATGGTTTAGCGTGACCCCAAATGGTTTAGCGTGACGACAAATGGTTTCGTACAAACCGAAATGGTTTCGTGTTACAGCGGTTGGTTCAGTTGGTTTACGCCGTAACCGCCAAAAATACAAAAGTGAAATGGAAAAGTCAAGCTTGAAATTGAATAGGATAAGAATCTCAATGGCGCCTCAAAACTATAAAAACTATATAGTTTTTAGGCGCCCTTTAGTTGTAGTTTCGTCGTCTTAAAACAATGAATCGCTTTATCACGTTTCCCAGCTATGGTTCTTACTGTCTAGACGGTAAATGTGCTGTCGCGTAAAATGATGCATTTTATCTGTATTTTTGTTATTCCTTTTGTTCCGAAATATCATTTACTTACTGATATTGCGGCAAGATGATGAGGGTATAAATTTATTCGCTAACAAGCTAAAATAGGCAAATGTGAAAAAGGTTATTACCGGAGTGAGGCTCTTTGAGTCCAGTGGACAAGGACGACGAGGCTACAGAAATAATTTTTTCCTGTGGTGAACATCGATTGGACGGCGTAGGGAATACCTCGTTCTTGCGAAATTCGCGCCGAATTGGATCTGAATGACGTAGGTTGTGACGTCAGACCCCACATAGACTGTTTCATTTCAAGCTTGACTTACCTATTTCCCTTTTGTATTTTTGGCGGTTACGGCGTAAACCAACTGTTGTAACACTAAACCATTTCGGTTTGTACTAAACCATTTGTCGTCACGCTAAAGCATTTGAGGTCACGCTAAACCATTTCACTTTACGGTGAGGAGATTGATTCGATACTAAACCATTGCGGCTTACGATTAACCATTTGCCGATAACTTAAGCCATTTCACACTACTCTGAACCGTTTGCACTGAACCAAAGTACAATTAGCTGACCGTTTGTCACGAACCATTTCAGTTAACACTTGGCCACTCGTGTTTTTCTTGAATCAGTTCAACAAGGTTGGCTACACAGCTCCTGAATTGTATAAACATTTTTGTTTGAATATTTCATTTCACCAAAGGCGACTTGTCCATTTGTATTTTGAATAAATCTCTTAAGATAAGATCAAGCGTTCTCCAGAAGACAATTTGACTAATAACCAACCAATTATATTTTTGTATTTTTGGCGGTGACGGCCGCCCATAGGTGTAAATTAGAAATCCTACAGCTAAACTTTTGAGAATATAAGTTACTATCGAGGAAAAAAATTATGACCCAAGATGAAGAAGACTCGATAGAAATGAATAGGTTGATGTATCGACACAAGGCGAGGGTGAGAAGAAGAACCAAAGTCACGAATGAAGGAACAAACATGAGCTGATATAGAATTGCCTTGTGACCGGGGAACTGTAGAACATTCCGAAAAGCAACAAGCAACAACTGAGCCAGCGGTGAAAATACACAGCGAAGCCAGCCACACTATTGTTAGCTCTTCTGAAAAAGGCAAAGCGGCATTTTATTGCACTGATATGCGCGCACGCACTCCTTAAAAACAGACATTCTAAAGCAGGTATTTATTTTACGAAACTCTTTTCAACTCGCATTTACTTTTGTTTTTCACAAGTTTCTTTGCGGAACTTTATTGTTTCTTGCTCAATGAAGTGGCAGACTGTCACGCGCTAACGTAGACACCACTATTATAAAATATTCACTAACATACAACTATTTATGCGGGTATCAGCGGCCATCCCGAGGGGCCGACCCCCGGGCACCCAGGGGCATTTGTCACAGCTGCCGTGACAAATACATGCTAAAGCCCCTCGGGTAGGGCAAAAAATTGGGACAAATACCCCCACCCCTGGAGCAACCTGGGCAACATATAGTCGGTGTTGCCTGTTCCTCGATGCAAAAGTACGAGTGATCATGGTTTACTGAAGCCACATCAGCACTAAAATCCACACAAGTCTCTATGGAGTCCTCAAATTCGAGCTTTCTGGGGCAAACTTTCTTGGCTTGCAGTTGTTCATCACACTGTCTCTTCCTATCGGCAAGACGCTTCGAATGCGAACTAACCGTATGAAATTGAAATCTCGATGTCGCTTTCCTTAAAATGCAATGAACAGATTCTTGGATCGCCGAGTGTCTTGAATTTTTTATCCGCTCGCTTACAGAAAACCTCCCACTTCTTACGCTCATTGGGCCTTGTAGGAAAGCAAAAATAACTGAGATCAGGTCGTTTCTTACTCCCATCACGGCACAGAGCAACAGCACAATACTTGACCATGGTACACAGGAAAATATTACCTCGAGGGCTAGAAGAACATCGAGCGAGCGAGCTTGCTTGTCCTGTGGGGAAAACCGCTGAACGTTGAGACAGCAGATTACGTGCAAATCCCGTGGGTATGGCCCCGGGGTATTTTGCCAAAAACGCAAAAGTGCTCTAATGCCCCACGTGCGGGGCATGCCTTTGCTACAAATCCCCTGCTAAGCCCGTGGGTTGCCCTTGGGTTGCCCGGGGGTCGACCCCTCGGGATGGCCGCTGATACCCTCATTAACTAGCGGCTTGTTGATTTGGTGTCGCACTCAGGCGGAAATTATTTGGCTACGTTTAAAGACTAATCTTTCGCCGTTTAGAACAGACTGATGGAAATATAGACTCCCCATTAGCAAAGAAATTTTAGATTAGATTAAAACCATTCCAATTTTCGTGCGTGGGAATCGATGACTCACGCCCGAGATTCTCCTGATTGACACGAACACTCATGGTGCCACTTGGAGTTAGGCGCTTTTCAAGTTGAAAGCTGTTCACTGCAACGATTTTGCACTATAAATATGTGCATTGAGGATGTGCAAAACCTTTGAATCAAACTCACCTTTTATTGGTTTAAACACTAAATTATTTGCGTTTGAACGTGTACGTAACAAAAAGAGCAAGCAAATAAAAATATAATGAGTCTCAGTAATAAAAATGAAATGAAATTGGTATATTAGGATTTAAGCCCGTTTACATGTTAAGGGAAACATCTAAGAAGTAACTAATAATTTCGCTTGAGACACGAAAACACGAATATTATGTCATGTGCTTTTTTAACCAGAGAGATGGGTAACGGGCTATTTACAATCGGTTAGAGCCAGTTTCTCGGTCGTTCGCATAGATAGAAAGTAATAGAATTCCTAATAGTGCAATTCGATTGCGTGTCTTGAAACCAAAGTCAAAGTTAATACATCGACCAATCAGAGGAGAGGAAATTATCTCTAAGCACAACCCTTTATGTGCAGAGATCCGTTGGTTGATTTTACTACTTTGACTTTGGCACTCAACTATTAGTGTAAGAAGCTAAATACAATCGGGCCGACTGCTCGTTAGTAGACCGGTTTAATACAGGTGTTACCGGCATACTTTTGGGAATTATTCAAAGTTCACGGGCGTTACGCCTCTTTGATCATTTCAAATTTATTTCAGGGCTACTTGTGACGAGCCTGTTACAGTCTTAGGGGAGTTCAGGCGAAGGTTACAGCGAGGGCGAATGCTTGACCTTCAAAATTACTCTGAACTGTGTGAGGGAAAGACCACGGAGATATTTGTCTCTCGTTACCGCCTCTTCGATGATGCTATGGAAGAGATATTGAGGGATGATCCGCCAGCGATTGATTTCAGTGTACCTTTAGAGGTGATCTTCACCGGCGAGGGCGCTCAAGATTATGGTGGTCCAAGGCGGGAATTTTTGGGCATGGTGATGCGCGAAATACGTGACAAGCTCTTCAAGGAAGAAAGAGAAGGCTACATCATTTTTGAGAAAAAAGAAGCACTAGACAGGAAATATTATTATGGAGCTGGCCTCTTTTTTGGTAAATATGCAAAGCCTACTGAGACACCTATGTCAATGTCACTTGAGCACACAAGAATTTCAATTTACCTTTTTATTGCAGGTTTCAGTTTGTTGCAAGGTGGTCCTTTGCCTACTTTCCTTGCTGAAGACCAGCTTCAGCGAATCTTCAAAAAAGATGATTTGACTAATCTGGGGGAAGCAGAAACCCAATTTCGGGTAGGACTCGAGAGATTCGGACTCGTTGAGGTAAGATTTCACTGTGACCGGTTGTAACTGATGGTCTAGTCTTCACCCTTTACCGACTCTCGCTAAATACGGACAGTTTCTCTTCAAGCGCTTCCGACGAAAAAACCCTACACATTTCTTTTACATGTGATAGGCAGTTGTTTAATCCCCTTTGGATCTCTGCAGTCTGGGAGCAGGTCTAAAAATGGCTGGAGAAGAATAGGGACTGTATGTAGGATGCCCTCTCTTCCCTTTGATCCTCTCTTACTCACACAAGAGATTTGTATTCCCTTGATCTCTAACAATTTTACATAGATTCCATACTTTCCGAGAAAATGAATCTTGCTTTTCTCTTAATCTGTTAGCTCCTTCATGGGAAACCGAGTCTTTCATTCCTCTTCCGAAAGACAGCAGTGCTGCCTATGACATACCCCAAACTGGTGAAACTGCTGGACCCTATTTTTTCCGACGAAGCGACCAACCAAAGGCAGCGGAAAGAGCGAACATACACACTGTTCCTGAATTTACTTGAAAGAGGTGTCAGGTAACTGTCGTTCTCTTTTCTCTAGTCTAAGAAACATCACCGCTGGCTAGACAGTTGTAACTTTGCTTTATGCCAATCGAAATTTTCCACAGAGCGCGCAAAAAGAACTGGAATTCAGAGCTTTATGAGTGCATTACTAATTTTTCTTTTCAGCTGGAAGAGGGGTAGATGGCAATATATCTCTCCATAGCATTTTAAAGTTCGTCACTGGATGCGAGAACGAGCCTGTTCTGGGTTTCCAAATGAAGCCCACTATTTGTTTTGATACGAATATGCCATCTTGCCTTCCTATGGGCAACACTTGTATTAGCAGGCCGACTTTGCCGATAGGTGAGAATGTATCAATGACCAAGGAAGAAGTGTTCTCTTTCTTTGACTACGCTTTCGAAAATGATTACTTTGGCCTTCTCTAAGTGAAACTACTGATTTCTGATTGATTCTCTTTGACAAGGTGTTTTTTAATTTATAAGTTGAATTTAGTTTACAGCAGCATTGTTGAGGCGAAAATTCGTGTTCATTACACAAACTTTAAAAGTCTAGTTAAAAAAAAGAGCGTTAGTTTAGGCTGTACACCAAAGGGTCAGTTGGTGCAACTCATACAAGCAATATTGTGTATATGTTTGTGTTTGCCCTTTATTGAATTCTGATTATGATGAAGATTTTAATAGCGTGGAAATGGGCCTGAGATGAACGAAATGAAAATACATTGAAAAGAACAAAGTTTATGTGTTAATGTTGCGAACGTTACACTGTTTTTATGTACGCTGTACCATTCTACATTACGCTGAGCCATTTGACGCAACGCTACACCGTTTGTGCGTAGGCTGTGCTACTCGACGTTACCCTGAGCTGTTTAACGCAACGCTACACCGTTTGAGTACTTTATTGCAAATGAGTGCTAAGCTATTCGTAGTTGAGCTAGTCCATTTCACAATCTCATGTTCCAACTCAACATGGGCTACTAGACCGTTTCTCATTTGGCTAACGTATTCATGTTTAGGGTGTTCTGTTTCACTAAGGAAAACTAGACTGTCTATAATTTGGCCATGCCATTCCTTTATTAGCTATGCTATCCTGCAACTGATCCTTAAGCCATCTATGTATTTGCTGATCTATTTGACATCCTTGTATTTTTGGTGGTGACGGCCGCCCATACTGTACCATTCGACATTATGCTAAGCCACTTCACGCAACGCTACACTGTTTGTATGTACGCTGCACCATTCGACATTACGCTAAGCCATTTCACGCAACGCTACACTGTTTGTATGTACGCTGTACCATTCGACATTACCCTGAGCCATTTCACACAACGTTACACTGTTTTTATGTACGCTGTACCATTCGACATTACGCTGAGCCATTTCCCGCAGCACTTCACCATATGTGTGTAGCTGTACCATTCTACATTACGCTGAGCCATTTGACGCAACGCTACACCGTTTGTGCGTAGGCTGTGCTACTCGACGTTACCCTGAGCCGTTTAACGCAACGCTACACCGTTTGAGTACTTTATTGCAAATAAGTGCTAAGCTATTCGTAGTTGAGCTAGTCCATTTCACAATCTCATGTTCCAACTCAACATGGGCTACTAGACCGTTTCTCATTTGGCTAACGTATTCATGTTTAGGGTGTTCTGTTTCACTAAGGAAAACTAGACTGTCTATAATTTGGCCATGCCATTCCTAGGTCTCCTCGCCCTCTATAAATTATAATGCCGTAAAAAATTTTTTTGTGTGTGTTGTTTAAAAGGCAAATAAATTATGATGATGACGATGATTTGATTCCACTTTTGCGGTGCCCTATAGAGAGATGCATTCACCTAATTTTCAAATAGCCGTTAACAGAAGCAATTTAAGTCCATGAATTGAAAATCCACAGAAATTCACAGAATCGTGGCTGATGGGTTGTGAATTTTTCAAATTTTTTTTTTAAATTCTTCCAGAGAGAGGCTGTCATATTTCACAGAGTGGATGAATCTGTTTGACTGGTTTGGCCTGGTGTTGATCTTGTGCATAATACCTTTACGGTACACTGATAACAAAGTGCAGTGGTTGGTGGCATCCTTATCTTTCTTATTCAACTTTTTGAGGATTTTTAAGTTTTCCTGTATTACAAGGTAATTAGAGAACAAAGCTACATAGTTCTATTTCAATGGGAAATTTAGATTTACGTTAAGCACTTCGTATTCGTTACTACGTTGCCTTTTTACCCTTTACAGCTTTCCTTTGAAATCTTTGAATAAACCGAATTATTGAACTACTTCAGGACCACAGGATTGTACACGCAAAAGTTGGCTAAGATCATTTTGCACGATGTGACAAGATCGATGGCAGTTTTCATTGTAATCTTCCTCTCCTTCTGTGGTGCCTTGTCGCTGTCATTTTGTTACTCTGATCAAGAACAACAGTCTAGGTGTGTCTTCTTATTCTCTCTTTTTGATACAGCTACATGTATAAGATTATGTTACTTTCTTGTAACCCTAACAATTGAGAAATAAAGAATAAATTTTGAATGATAATAATATAGAACTGAGAGTATGATATGTCTGACCATAATTCAACCATTCAACCATTAACGATTTGCCGCTAGTTAATTCGTAGAAGAACTTATTCAAATATCCATGTGTGAAGTTACTAACTTGTATTGATAATCGTTCAAGCCAAACCTTACAGTAAGAAAGCAGTTAAAGCTTTGAACGTAGGAAAACGTTTTCTGAATTAATGTAGCTGTTCATCAAGGAGAACTCAGGGACTGTGCGAGTTTAGCTAATAATATTTCACTTTTATCTTTAGAGGCTTTGGAGATGTCATGCTGAGCGGTTTTCGTGCACTCTCTGAGCAGCTACCAATTGAAGGAGATTACACAAATCTCAAGTGAGTAGGCAAGGAGCTTCGTTATTCTCTTTAACACATTTCCCCCTACGATACTTCTATAAGTAAGAGTCTCAAAAGGGAAGTGTTTTTCTCCTTCACATTATGTGGCTCTGTAACTTTGTGTATCACTTTCGTCCCCCAACTTCGTTAATTTTTCTTCTTGCAGCTGGTTGTCGATCTTGTTGATGGTGTCTTACATGGGAACAGTGAATGTAATTCTCATCAACATTCTCATTGCCCAGATGAGTACAACCTACACACAGGTTAAGAAAGTCGCTCGTCTGGAATACGATGTGGATCGTATTTTACAGCTCACACGCATGGAGAGATTTCCTTTGTTGGTTAGTAAGCATTCTTCGCTAATGAAATTGCAGCATTACATTATTCAGCATTTACCAGCGTGCGTTATTAACGCTAAGGGGCAGCGTGTATACGTGCTTCTAGGGAGTGTGAAGATAAGAAAGAACAGGCAGGGGAAGGAGGAGCCAATGAATACTTGCTTTCCTCTGCAATTGAGGAATGTTTTCAATCAATCTTTATAACTTTCGTTTATGCAGAATTTGCGCGTGAGGTATTACAAAGATGGAGACTGGATTAGCGAGATGAAACTCGCACAAGGTCTGTAGTGAAATATTTAACTGACACTTCTTCCACCTGAATTGTTATCTGCAGAAATCTGAAAAAACAGGGTTTTTTAAATCTTGTTTCTTATTCTGCAACTCTGAAAAAGAGGAGCTGAAGAAGGTTTACGCTTTTTACTCAGTTAAAAACAGAAAACTGACATTATTTGCATACTCATGCCTTAACAGCTTTAGGTTCTTAATGTTCATAGATGTGATCTTGGATCTGTTTTTAAAGCTTCTTGAATTTAGTGAAGATCGCAGTCCTTGGGAGTCGGTGGAAGAGAAACTCAGTGCGATCAGGTAACATCATATCTTATCATATTCCCTCTCTTTCATTAACTTGTTCTCTCATTGACATCAGATTGGCTTTCGAAAATACCGACTTCCCTGTGTTTATCCTCTTCAGTTTCCGCGGTCATGCTTCACATCTTTTGTTGTAATTTTTGAACAGGGATATGATGAGGAAGATGGTGAAACAGATGCGGCCTGGAAGCGGATGAATAGAGCTTGTATGCCCACATGACTGTAGTAAGAATGTTTCCCCAGTCTCTTTTAATGCGCCGATTTCTTTATTCATTTAATTCGCAATGTTTACACGACAATTTTGACGCCAAACGACCGCTGAGCCAATCAGATCTAAAAGCCTAGCGCAGTGTAAAATGCGATTGACCAAATGGATTGGTGGTAAATAAAGGCTAAGTAAGCAACAAAAGGAAAACGCCACCGAGGTTTCGTAAAACTGTTTAAAAAAACTTCATTCTGTAACCGACAACTCTTGACAGTGTGATTAACATTACATGTGTGCGAAAAATGAAGGTCACCTTTGAGTAAGTAATTTCATCGAAAGTGTTTGTTTTTCTTTGTTTTATATAATCAGTGCTTCTTCCACATAAATATTTACGAAATGCGAGGGTCAACTACGATATGTTTCGTTCAGTGAGTTCTTTTACTTATCGTTTTACCACGTGTACTTTTATTCAAGAGTGTGGCAGAATTTTTATTTTTTTATTTAACAGAATTTAAATAAAATCAACCGGGAAGATAGCAGGTTGACCTACTACGGGAAACAGCTCTTAACGCGATCAGGTCATGAAAATTCCTCGAATGCTTCTCTTTCTCGCTATGTAGAGCGCAATTCGAACGAGAGTCGTAAACCCAACAGATAAATTACCATAGTAACATTGAGAACAAAGGAAAATAGCATTAATAGTCAAAAGAACTCGGGCAAAACAAACTAACTGCTAATATATAGACTTAGCCAAGCCTAAAAGCGGAGCTCGAATTTTTTTTTCCTGCACGTCTCAAGGGCACAACGCTTTGCCCCGGCCAGGACTAGAACGCGGGTCATCTAACTCGGAGCCCAGTGCACTGACCACTGGACTACTGGACGAAGCCGTGGCGTTGGCGTGCCCGCGGTACAGCTGATCACGCATGTTAAAAGTAGCACCTTGCACGGACGCCCGTACGGTCATAAGTCCACATTTTTTCGGCTTGATGTGTTACCACTACCATTTTGTATAATTATGGGGCTACGCTCTGCGAGCTCCGCTATTAGAGTGGCTACATCTATCTACTTCGCGGCCGTCCTTTGAGGTGTCACGTAACGTATTTTAATTAAGCCTCTTTTGGGTGAAGTGTTGCGTGACATTTTAAAGAACTATTGGGAAGGACACGTCACGACAGGAAAACGTGAGTGCTTGAGTCACGATTTGTTTCAGTTCAGAATCTGATTAAGTTGGTTGAAAGGAAAGCGCGACCTTTGTTTTACTATTACTTAGCAAAAGCATCGAACTCTGAGACTACTTTAGACTTTTTGACATTCAAGTAGACATATTTCCCTTCAGTTTCCCAACCATGTTTCTTTTTCCAGGGATACGATGAGAAAGATGGTGAGATGAGGCCCGGACAAGATTAGAACGAGTGTCTGTGTGCATGATTCTGTGACACAGTCATTCGGCCATTGTAATCAATGCTGGTTTTTATGTGACAATGTTGGACGTGAACTGTCTTTAAAGGAAAAAGAGTGGTGGTCGTTATGAGAATTTCGTCAAATCACTCACAAAGCAGCAATCAGGGCTATTATTCTAAAAACAAACAGTGAGAACAAACAGTGCGGACGAAAATAAAGGAAAAAAAGAGTGAAAACGGGTGCGACGGATAGTTGATTTACATGAAGAGATAGCGTAACCAACCCGAGGAAGCAACGGAGCCGACTAAAACAACTCGATTTAAGAGGAAAATGCAAGAAACGACTAATAAATGCAAGTTGGTATGATACAAGGATTAGAAAATACCAAAGTCCGCTTCCCAAGTTATCTTGGATTGCTTCCATGTGGATGTCACAAGCAGTAGCCACTCTTAGCTTTTAAAGTTTTGTGTGTGTACAACCATGCGTGCGTTTCAAATTCTCACGAGACCCAGACCCAGAGCTTGGTAAAGGGTCTCAGTCGGGTTAACCATTAGGCGTAAAACGGCCAAAAAAATGTGGTAGTAAGGGGTAAAAACTGGCAAATTTTAACTGTTAGCTTTAAAAAGGTTTACCGTAAAAAAAATATTTTGGTGACAATAGCGGAAAGATATTAACCGTTAGCCGCAAAGTGGCTAAAGTTTTAACCGTTAGCCTTAAAGCCATCACCCCAACGAGACTCTCAATGTAAAGGTCTCATCAAGCTCTCCCAGGGAAATATTTTACGACCAACCCTCGTCTTCTCAATCAACACTCTTTTTTTTGTTTGTTTTCGCAAGTTCATGATGGCGACACTATAGTTTCATGCAACTTTGTAAATCAAGCTGTACTTTTACAATAGTGAATTAATTGCACAAATGTAGCGTGGTCCGAGGTGCTTACTGATTTATCTAACTACTGTCTTATTTTCTCACATTGATATTAATCTCAAAAATCTAACTTTAATCCGTCTTTTGCCTGTAGTTTCCATGGAATTTCGTTCCATCCGTAAGACAGATTGCTCATCTCTTAGAATTTATACTTGATTACATTCTGAACAAAGGTCGAAAAGATCAATTTTCGAATTTTCTGATTACACTTGTTTAGACATTAACTGTCTCTGATTACACACCGTCTCACCGTTAAATGTATAATTTATAATGTAAAGGACTGCAGCAAATACTGCTTAACAGCACAAAAACTTATCAAATCGAAGTCCTTACTAAATGTCTTTCAGCTTCAGTTTCTCGTAATTTATGAAACGTTGTGTTCTCTACATCATAAAGGAATCTCCAAGCAATATTTTCCTTATGGAATACTCAAGCTGATACAGCAAAGGACTTTCCACAATTTTTTCGCCCTGCATATTGAAGATCCTCTTTTCATCAAGACCATCTGGGATCCAGTCATCATTGGCTCTTTCCGTCGTCAAGTATACAATTATCAGTTTGTCAATAAATTCTCTGTTCCCCGTGAACTCTTCGTGTATAACCTTCCCATCAAAAGTAAGGAAATCTTCGTCGCCCTCTTGTTTTTTTTCCTTTATGAGGGTCGAAGTGTGGCGTGATCCGACCAAAACGATGCAGTCCCCTTGGCAGCGAAGTTCACTCCTAAAATCATCTTCCTCCGCTGAAATTTGAGTAATGGTTCTCATGTCTGCCATGTTACACAGCCCACATTGCAAATAATCGCGTAGTTTCCTGGCTTTGTCCTTTTCGCTTTCTGTGTAAAGAAGCATAACGTATTTCATTTCTGACTCCTTGAAATCCCGCGTGTGTTGAACAGATATGCACAGAAAGTCGAACTATTATGTCCTGTGCACTTAAGTTCGTGGTTGTGCCCGACTAATTCAAGTGTTTCTGAAATAGACAACTGTGGAGAAACTGAAATGGCACCGTTTAAACACCACGACTACGGTCGATAGGCTGCCTGATATATAGTGGTGGTGAAAGTGTGGAATGATCGAGTTGCTCAATGCTATGAAAAAAATTGACTCGAAAAATTAACAAAACTCATGGCCGACATGCCATAGAAAGTGCACATAAAAATGCTAAGAAGCCGGGATTCAATAGTGCGCTTCATTAGCAGCCAATTCTTAGGCGGTGATCCAGAGATGTAGTGAATACATGCCTTCTCACGTATTTTCGCGACTTTCTGTGTGGAACGTTTTGTAAAGTTTGACGCCACTTGATTTGCGTTAGCCGGCAAGAGTTGATGCTAGATGGCGCAAGTTGACTGATCAGAATGAATCTATTTCGTTTGGCCAAAATTCTGACAACTCTGTGTAAGGAAGAGGCACGTGATATGAACGGTCTGTGAAATTACAGCTGTTCTGTCTTTAAAAAGATTTAATCGATTCTTTGAAATTTTGGTGATTTTGTGTTCAATTCAAATGAAAAACACTTTTTTTGTGAGTTCATGGATTTTAGATAATTCGCTTGAGCATCTTCTCTTCCCCTCTAAAAAGTATTCAAACGAACAGTGTGTTAGATTTGTTTCTTTATTACTTCCCATGCCATCGACGGAGCGATGCGGTCAACAAAATCCGTCCCAGACGATCATCAGGCCAATACAGCGAAAAAATGAACCTTGAAATAGTTGGGACGTGAGATGGCAAAATGGAATCGATTTGCTAAATTTCAAGTTATGACAACGGTGAATATAAAAACGCTGATAACTCGCAGAATAACACGCTATTTTAAAAATATAAGTCTTTTCGAACAGTCACAGGCATCTGGAAAAAAATACAACAACAAAACAAAAGCACAAACACTGACACGACCACACTAACATATCAAGAAAAGAATACCGATAACAGAAGGCAACTTATTCTGTGTTCGAGAGGTCTGTCGTGTTCCTAGCCTTGTTGTGTTGTTGTTGTTGTGGTTGCTAGCAATGAATCTTGATATTTTCTTAGTAAATCTTGCGAGACACCAGTTGTCTGTTTGTTTTCTTTTCCTGTCCATATGGATTTATCGGATTGCCTTCTGTTGCTGACCAAAAGGTTTGCGGTTTCAGGGAATAGCCCCCGATAAGCGATAATAGTGAGCGGCACATTGGGGATCCTGTCAACTGCTTTCGCGAAGGGCACTTTATGTCTCTGTTAGGCAACTAAGACTGGATTAGTTTTTAAGCTTTAGGACTGATATGCTTGGAAATATATGATTCAGAAATGAGTAAAGAAGAACAGCACAACGGAAAAGTAAATAACTGCGAACAAGAACCAAAGCCTGGCGTTGATCGACATCAAGATGTTGGCTTGGAAAATGAATATGACGTTGAGTTTTGGATGAAAGTAAGCTCAATTATCCCAGAAGTGGGTAAAACTTTGAGCTTTTATGATTTGGAAATTCAGTTAATTGATGAACGTTTTACCGTTGTGTTCACTTCGTAAACACTGAAAATAAAAATTTTTCGGGACATATTTTAACCATAATTTCCTTTTCGGCGGCGTGAAGATACAATTTGTGTTCATTACTGTAATTGTTTTGGTTCTGTTATTTTATGAGAAAATGAAATTGTGAGGGAAAGGTGAGATGCCAGCATATGGATCGC